TGCGTGGAGATACTGAGACACCTTGTCACAACACCACCAATTCTACTGCATGAGAAGATAAAGCATTGAAACGTGAGATAATGCAGTTATTATAAAACATTAAATGGACCGACTTATTACACTGATTAAAGACTCTAAGCACACAACCATTTTCAAGCAGCTTGACAAAAACCCAATTATTCACCTGAGCCCTCCAGCCTGGGACATCCAATGATTAGGGCTCCCTTTGTCAGTCCTGAGGTGCTCAACAGCAATTTGCCCTGCTGAATTCCACTAATCCTTATACAGATTTTTTACTGAACTAAATGGTTAATATGCTATTTACAGCAAATAATACACCACTACAGAGAAATGCAGAGTAAATATGTGTAGCCCAATAATACCCATGTTTCTTTTTCCTACTCATTGGGATACATGCATTGTGCAAATTCCAGCTTTGTCCTCCATAACCCCAGAGCAATATATTAGAATATCAAATATGCAGCAATATGTAGATGTGAAAAAACTGCTTCTACATATTTCTCAGAATGGAATGTAAGATATATTTTTTTACAGAATTGCCACATTCTTCGTTTTCAAGCCCAGATTTTTATATGCTCCCTCCAGCCCACTTGCTGTTTTATTTCACAGTTTTCTAGCCAAAGCGCTAGTTAAGACCTAAATGAATCAATGTCCGAGGAAAATTGTGGAAAAGTCTCTCCGATAGCATCTCTTATTTCATATTTATCTTAGGACAGGAGACATTTTTTTGTCTTACCATGACCATAATAATGCGTAGATATTCCCAAGGAGAATTCAGCTTAAAATTAAAGCTAACACACCACGCTGAGCAGCCTGGAAAGGGTAAAATGTTACAATTTGCGGATGGGCATTTTTCAACCATAACCTACTGATCTTAAACAGTTATATAGGTTGGGACTTAGAACACGACCACAATTTTAATGGTAAAGAAAGACAATCGAAAAATAGCCAGAATTGAGGAAACTTGGATTGGAGAATGTAAGTTCCTTTGAGAAAGGTCCTAAGCACCTTCAGTCCTAGTGTCTCCAACTCGTCTTGTTGCAACTACTTGTTTGTTAGTCCATCTATTGCACAATAAACTCCTGCTGAACAAGTGTTTATGGTATAAGAATAAATCAGGAGCCTGGTCCACCTTAATTGTGCATCCTATGTCAGCTGTTTCACATTAGGTGCTTCAACATGAGTATTTTTCTATTATTTTTTTTATTATAATTTTCAATTTATCTATATTATTATTATTATTATTATTATTTTATTATTTATATAGCGCCAACAAATTCCGTAGCGCTGTACAATGGGTGGACTAACAGACACATAATTGAGATCAGACCACTGGACGTACAGGAACAGAGGAGGTTGAGGACCCTGCTCCATGAGCTTACATGCTAGAGGGAGTGGGGTATAGTGACACAAAGGGTTAAAGTTGGGGAATTAAATAGTTTGTTAGAGAAGGGTTTATTGAGTGCTTGGTAGGTAATTTTTGACAGTTGCAGGAAAGGAGTCATGGGGTGGGTGATGAGAAACCTGCTGACAGTTTAATTGATATGCTTTAATGAAGAAGTGAGTTTTCAAAGATTTTTTGAAGGAATGGAGACTGGGTGAAAGTCTGATTGAGGAGGGAAGGGAGTTCCACAGAATAGGTGCAGCCCTGGAGAAGTCATCAGAGGTGGGGATCCGGGCAGAGGATAGGCGTAGGTCTTGGACTGAGCGCAGGGGTCTCGACGGGACATACTTGTGTATGAGGGAGGAGCAGCATTATGTAGGGATTTGTAAGCAAGCGCCATTATTCATTCAGAACGAGTATGTTTGCCTGTCATGTCCTTTTGTAAAATATCTGAATATCTAGCTAAAACCACACGGTTATCTCAACAATTAAATATGTTTGGAGCCAATAGCATCATTGTTTTAAAGTGCTTGCATTGACATGGAGGTGTTTGTCACATTTCGTTGCACCTATACATCACGGATTGCATCTTTTGGAAACCTTGCTATACATAGTGGGAGTAGGATTGCCAGTTCTAGCATGTCTTCCCCAACAACTGTTTTTTGTCTGCGTGAAAATGGACATCAAATGAAAACAAATTAATAAATTAGGGATCCCAAATGATAAGTGAGCTGATTTCCCTCCAGGCTTTCTGTGTTTTTGTGAAGAGCTTGTGCATCGATCCCTTACAGCCTAAACATAGTACGGATCTCACAGCACGCTGGCCTCCATCTGATAGACATGTGTGCCTGTATATAAACCAAAACCACGTGGAGAGACAAAAGTCTCCAGTGCTTAAATACAAAAATCGATATATAATCCAGAATGCACAGCATAACAGCCACAGATATCAAATACAAAACTTTAATAAGTGCAAATACTGCATAATTATTCAAGTTTTCTATCAGATATGGCGTTTGCCCTGTTTCATGTTTTTGGCGCATCTGAAGTTCGTGCATGAGTTTTAAACAGCTGGAAAGCACACATGAAAAAAAGACAATATATCACCCAGTTTATAAAATGCATTCGTAATTTTTCCAATACAAAGAGTCTGCCATTCAAGCTACCTAATTTCCATTAAATTGTTGGTGGATTACAACTCCCATCAATATGCTTGCGAACTGGATTTTACATTTTGATTCCAATATCAGGGTGTGTGACTGAATGGCTGGTTAAAGGTTCCAATTCAGGTCAGACCACCTTACCAGTGAGTGGCCTTAGGCCAGACACCTAATGATATATATCTGCCAACCTCAAATCCACACAGAGTGCAAGCTTGTGTGCGCAGGGACTTCTTCACCTTCAAGTATTCCCTTTTTATAATTGTAAAGCGCTGCAGACTATGTCGGTGCTATATAAAAGCTAGTAAATATAATGGACTGGATGAAAAGGTGAACAGAAAGTGTTTATAGTTAAAAATGCAGATTCTTCAGGTTAACTTGTAATTTAGGGAGCCCACAAAGTAAAGGAAAATAGTGACATATATACTGCGAAAGGGGTAAAGGGTACTACTACAAGCAAAGCTTACCAGTAAGTCAGGTATAAATGTAATATATGACAGCAGTGCACACCAAATGAAAATAAAAATTTAGTTTTGATATACATTAAGTACCCAAGTCGATGTTACAATGAAAATATAAATATCTACATAGAAAATAGAAATACAGATTTGGTCAGATCTCATGTATGTTATTAGGTCAGTGAAAGTGGTACCAGCTGCATTTGGAAATAAGCAGCCATTGCCATCTACTGATCTTTCTGCGCAGAGCATTTCTAATAACACAAAGATCTGCGGAAATGAACAGGCAGATTTCACAGGGATTCCCATTTTCCTGGCCATTGAGCTCTAGGTAAGACTATCAACATTTCTGGAGAAAAGAACAATCTTAGAGACCGAGAGGCAGACTCAAACCCAGAGTTCAGAGACAAAAAGAGATTAAATAAAAAATAAAAAAAATTACTTGAAATGTCAAGTTAAAAACACAAAACAACAACCAAAAAAAAACAAACTTATCTTCCCAAAATTCCCTTAGACTAAACAGAAGTTCAACATCTATTTGGAAATTAATGAATTAAAACAGGGCAGTAGGCATATGTAAAATATTTTCAGTATAACAATATATGTAATGAAAAGCATTATGAGGTTCCTGTGAGGGTATAGATTGCTGATAGCTACCCAGGCATTTTAACAGCATGGATATTGCTGTTTTGAAGTGGTAAAAGCATGATTTACTAATGCAAATGGGCCCCCCTGCTGGAGCCGAGTCCACACGGGTTTACCTAAAGCACTGAACCTGCTGGTACAGAGAGTGACTGCCATTTACAAGTCATGTAGGCTGCGGTTTTGTTAATATCACTAAGATTGACTGATTTCTTGTCCCTTACTTTGAACACTTGAAAGGAAATCTGTCAACTTAAAAAAAACCAAACACAAAGATTAAAAAAAAAATAATAATCCTTTACGTGAACCTAGAGAACATGTTATGAATTGAGTTTGCAAAATAATTAACCCCTTAATGACCAGGGACATCATCACATCAAACAAATTCCAGTGTAGAATGTCCTAATCATTTCATGGTCAGACAAATGGAGTGCTGCAGTTATGACTAAATAAGGGCACTCCACCATAGAATAGTAATGGATTGTTATAAAGTCATAGGTCATCATTGGTTCCTGAGGGGTTAAAGACATTCCGCGATGTGATACATTTCTGATTTCCCTTTCCCATCTGACTTGTATTACATATTTCTTAAGATCCCATGTGCATCTGACATCACCTTCCTAACGGATTACATGATCCTTTTGTGCATGCTTTAGTCTTTTTGACCTATTCTACAATTTTACAGATTTTTACAGAGAATGTGCTTCCCCAAGGTCAGGGAGGTTTGTCGTTGACACAAGAACAATCTTAACCCCTTCACTACCAAGCGTTTTGCAGAAAAAAACACACCAAGAATCAATATATTTTGGCTGTCCTGGAAAGTAATGTTTAAATGTATTTTTTCATTTCAATATAACTAGACAAACATCTAGACAACACTTTTGCTTTTGTTTCCATTAAAAAATGTGCTATTTGGGTGTATTGAAATTATAAAAAAAAATGTCAACATTACTTTTAAGTTTACCAATTAATGAGGTTACACATAGGAAAAATGAGTTGCAAGTAAAATAGAATTCTCAGTAGGTAACATATTGTTTCCTATTTCTTTCCTCAGATAATCTATAATCCTCTCACCTATACTTTGTCCAATATATATATATATGTAAAAACAGATAAAATCCATATCTTGTAATACCTTTTTTATTGGACTAACATAATTTTTAATGACAAGCTTTTGGGAGAACCTCCCTTTCTCAAGTCTAAAGCATTTCTGAGCAAGAGGACACATAGAATTCAAAGTTGAGTTGTGATACAGGGGTTAAAGGACATGAGTGCAGATAACACACAGGTTAAATAGAGAATAGACACCATTCTCACAGAGGGTCGTAATTATCTAGTGTGAAGATCAAATGGTAAGGCTAATCTCATGGAAATGTGGCAACATATATCCATATGCATAGTGTATATGTTGCCACATTTCCATGAGATTAGCCTTACCATTTCATCCTCACATTGCAGTCATGTTGCCACACACACAAATACACATGAAAATCCATGATGTATAAATTCGATAAATCCATACACATTCTGATACATGCACTCATACAAACATACTGATGTACAGAGACACACTATGACACACGCACATACTTTGACAGATGAGGTCACACAATCACAGTGTATGTATGGCAGTGTGTATTGGTATCTGCGTGTGCATGTCTGGCATTGTGTAGCATGTAAGTGCCTGTGAGTGTTTGTCTGGCAATGAGTGTATGTGTGAGTGTACATCTATGCATATGTGTATCTGTGACTGTGCTTGCAAAGCATATCTGTGTATGTGTGTGTGTGTGTGTGTGTGTGGAGGGAGCTGCTTATAAGGGGTGTTGCTGTGGTTTTGCTGTGTGAATTGTGTTTACAGTGGGCCGGGTTGTGTGTGTGAAGGGTAGTTTTGTGAGTATGAGGGTTACTGTTTGTGGGGTGGTGCATGTGCCTAAATGTGCCTGTGTGTTTATGAGGGTGACAGTGTGGTTGTGACAGAGTGAGTGTGACAGCGATACTGTGTGAGAAGGAAATGTGAGGAGTGACTGTGACATGGTGACTTACTGTGACATGTTGACTGTGTGTGAGGGGTCAATGTGCACTTAATTGGTGTGAGCCTCAGTAATATCGTGTATACTGGCATGCTTAAAACCCCCAGGATAAACAACAGGTGGGATAAAATCCTTGGGTTACTGTTGTGTGTCTTGCTCACTTTTGAAAGTGTTATGAGCACAACTAAACTCTGGCATTGTCTGGGCTAGCTTCCAACTACTCACAGAAAACAGTAGTGAAGTTTAATTTGGAATACCACTTCACTTCAAATGATTTCCTCTGAAATGTCAACTTTTATAGTCAAAGAAGTTAAAAGAAGAACGTTTCTTCTATAAAGGTGTAAAAAAAAGTTTTAATGTTTGGCAGAGTATGAGCCCAATTAAGGCTTTGCGTGGTGTGGGACAATGATAGCTAAAGTGACTAATGATGAAAAGTTTGAGAAATGCAAAGATGTTGGAAAAAAGATAGATCAAAGATAGAATTATCTAAATGCAGCAGAACAGCTGGAGAAGCCTTTGAAACCCTTTTATTGCTTGACTTCCAGTCGCTAATCAAGGGAGCACCTGCTACACGTACATCACCTAAAAACCTAAAAAAGCGTGATTATCTGCAGTGCTGCTAAAATGGACACTTACCTTTTTAAATGGCCAAGTGGGTGGAACAGCGGCAATCGAAGGTAATAATGTCGGCTTCAGCTATACTTAGAAGGACAATGCAACAAAGATAAAGAGATATAAGAAACAAAAAAAGACAAGTAAACAAAATAGCAGAAAAGGCTTGCTGAGAGGGTAAGAAAAGGGATCTATAAAAAGCAAAGGGGGGAGTCTGAGAACAAAGCGTGCTTGTCTTCAGCAACACCAAAGACATATTTGCCGATTGTGTGCCAAATTACCAAGGAAATAATTGGCGGCAATATTCCGACAGATCATTATGAGAGGCATTAGTGAGAATTGCCTATTCTTCGCATATTGTCTACGCCCCACCTTCCACTCGTTAGTGTATTGGCATCTAAAAGCACAAATTTAGGGGGAAGACTTTCTCCCACTGATTGCTTCTATAACGAAATTGGTTGCCTATCCCTGCTGTAGATTACAGTATCTTTCACTTGGACAGCTTATCTCCGATGGTAATTAGATGCCTGTAATCCAGATGTGCTTCATAGTAGTAAACAAATATCTAAGTGTCATACGAGCATCTGGCCTAAACATTGGGAATATTTAGGATCATTTTATCTCACCAGAGGTTAGAGTCTCAAGGTGATGGACTCACAACTGGGATGGAGTGATGATTTGCTTTTGTAGTCTGACATTGTGCATAGAGCTCAAATAACATAAGCTAGGTTAATGGGGTACCGTGGTTTTCTGGAAACATGTGGGCCACATTAACATGATAGGTATGATATGTCTCACGATATAGTTTGCCTGAGGTTCTCACGATCCTTGTGACACTATTAAAAACCATATTATCTGAAAAATTAATTTGTGCCCTGCCTCACTTTTCCTATGCTCCCTTTCTAAACATTAAAGAAAAAAAAAATCAGCTTCTTTAGGTAACGTAATAGATTAGAACACTCAAGAACACATGGAGATAGGTTTTCAAGTCACACGGACTTAAAGGTACGGTGGAATACTTTTTTTTTATTGAGCAATGTATAACTGTAGATTGTGGGGAAGTGATAAGTACACTTTAAATGCTAACAGAAGTTAAAATCCAAGCATTACTGCTGCATAAAAATGCCCGCACTATTAGAAATTCAAGGAAAAAATAAATTACTAATAACACATTTTCTAGGGAACAATTTACATTATGCAGCTCGGAATATTGAGAGTAAGGTAGTTTTAGGGTCAAGGTTAAAAAAAAAACAAAACAAAAAAACTCAAAACGCTGCCGCATTTCCTTTTTTTTTTGTATGGTTTGTTCAGTAAGATGTGAAATCCAATATCCAATGCAAATACGGAGAAACACAATACAAATCTCTCTCCCGGGAATTTGGGAGATTTTAAATCGCCATAGAACAAATTCAGCTTGACCTAGATCTTTTGCATGGATATACATTCCAATCTATAGTCTACTAAAAAAAAAAAAAATATGTAAAACAGAAAAGTGAAGATTTAACCCTTTATCTTCTGCAGTTAAATAAACCTTGTCGTTTATCCAGTTTGATTCTGCTAGGATATAATATAACCAGCTGGTTGCAACATTAAAACAGAATGATGACAGTAAATAGTATTGACTAGACCTGTGTGATTGTCTGAATTCCAAAATTCCGGCCAAAATATACCCAAATCATTGACTAACCGAACAATGCAATGCTGAATTTGGTTTCTTAATTCTGCCCAAGCTTAAAAATAAGAAATGGCAGATGGGGCAGCTACTAACAAGGTTGTTCAATAAAGTGAGAATTCAAAGTGAATTTCAAATTTAAGGCCAAAGCAGATGAAATGGAACCAGACCTAAATTAGCGAATTTTTCCAGTTTAGCTATTTTGAATTTAAATTTGAAATTCACTTGGAATTCACTTTCACTTCTCACTTTAGTGAATAATCCTGTAAATGTTGCACATTTTTTATCATTTTGATTAAGTTCCCAAATTGTAATACTGGTTCTAAAATTCTGTTGAGCAGGACCAAATTTTGGCCAAGATTCAAGTCTCCTTCAATGTGTTCTATTATCAGAAATAGAATGTTTCGTACTAGCTGATAGTTCTTGACGCGTGCACGTCTCCTTTTAACCTTTATGTTTTATAATGCTAACACATTGATCTACATCAACAATTCATGTTATAAAGTGCAAACGTGTTTATTCTCTTAACAGTGAATTGAAAAACAAATTGCAACATTCAGGCTCAACTGACCAAAACATGACCGTGGTTCGTTAGCAAATTTTCAAACCTGCTATTTTTCATTGAAAAGTTGAATGAAAAACATGAAAACAATTGTGTTTTTATTTTATCCAGGTATAGATCAGTGTATCTGAACAGTTAGCAAATCATTTCTTGATTCATATATTAGCAGTAGTAGTAAGTATTCCTTAAAGGGTTACTCCAAGAACTATGACCAGCTCAGTGATTTGCAATGGTCATGGTGCCTGGAATCTGTATACAGTATACTCCACCTCAACGAGTGTCATAGGGGACATTAACCAGACTAGAACAAAAGTTACAGGTGGACAATGCCAATTCTGTGCATATTGGATGTCTATTGTCAGCTCACACAGCATGCTGGCGACAGACATCCAATGGCAGCACCCCCATGCTGCAGTCCTTCCCCTACATCCCTTCCTTGGCAGCTAGATTCATGTCAGCAGAGTGGAGAACGTGGCATTGACGCTGGAATGGAGGTAAGTTTATAATAGTTTTTTTCTATTTTTACCAAGATGAGTTACTCTAACCAAAACCAGTGTTTTCCAAAAACAGTGTTTTTTTTGGGTGGAAATGAACGACAGTTCGCAATTGGGAATCAATATATAGAACCATTATGAATTAAATAGTTAATATCCTGAGTATCAATTTCTTTAAAAAGTTCCCATCAAAGTCGATAATAGTTTAATATTTACGTAGACACAAGCACATGCAAACATGCACGTAATTACATTCAGGCCGTTCGTATGACTGATTAACTTGAATTACTGACATGAATGTAGGTACTATTAAAAAATATATCTGAGCCTACACCCAATTTTTAATTTCATGTAATTGTGTGTCTCTCGTAACAGCTCTGCATTAGTGTTACATCCGCCACCAAATCCCAATTTTATTATCCTGTGCTTTGAAAATCTTAGGTAAGACAAAGACAATCCTCTTTGTGCATTAAACTGATCCCATATCCCTAATCCATAGAGGTAATGGACGTCTACTGCCAGGACATTCACGGTGAATTGTTCGGGATTAGCAGCAAGGCGATTCTCTCATTGAAACAGTCCCAGCTCTGCCGTGATGTGTTTCTATTCAATCCCCGTACTCACTAAGAATCACAACAAATGGAGTTTAACCTCTTCTGTGCCAGATCATTAATTTTAATCACAGACTTGGGTACGTAGTTATCAACATTCTTCATCACATGTCATTCCTTGAGAACGATACATTAGAATCATTGTGTAAACACGCATATCATGAAACATATTACTGCGACTGATCTTGGACTCCTCGTTCTATCTTAGTTTAGTGCTAATGTCACAGAAGATTGTACAGGCATTGAAGATGTGGATGTCGGACCTGTACAATCAATGAGTCACAGATCCCCTCCCTGTTGAGGGGAGTAGGAGGAAAAATGTAGAAAGCTCTCACCCCAAATATCTACACACCAATCCCTGTTCTCCCCTGTCATGGTTGTCTATTGATCTGGCACTGAAAGGTTTTGCTCAGGTATAGTAATAATGTGTCACATGAACAGGGGATGAGAATATACTGTCCGCACC